TCACGTTAAATCACTTCGCGCAGGCGCCGCACGATATAAAATTTTACTTAATAACGAAGCACGAACTCTATTTTATGAAATACAATCGCGATTCAAGCTCACGCGAGAGAAAAAATTTAGAAAATTAACAACCGGCGGAAGATCTATGACGCAAGTGATGTAATTGCGTATTTTCTGTGGCGCAATCCCTTTACACATTAGCGCAATCTCTTTGCGCGTTGGTGCACTGTTCAAGACACCTGGAAGATCGCATTCAATAAAACAGAATAATTTTACAAAATCTTGAATGTTCAAAGCGTATACTCAATACTTTAAGCATTTACTAGATAATGTTGGGGTTTGATTAATTAAAATTTCCTCCGACAAAAATCGTCAACCAATTAATAATCTAAGTGAATCAATTAATAAATATATGTACATTGGGAGAAAAATACTTGAAAATTTATTTGCCAAATTTATATAAAATATGCATTATCATTAATATTATTATTTGAAAAAGCGATCTTCCAATTGTTTCGAGCAATGTGATTTTTATTGGGCGGCACGTACACATACTACAACTACAGCAAAATAAATCGCATTGATTGGATAAGCATGCACTATATCGAAAGACTTTTTGTCTTTCTGTTATCAATATGTTTCATGTTTTTACTCACCAAACCGCCGATCAGGATAGCCACATTCTGCTTTTGTTTCTGAAACAGAAAAATGCCATTTCGCCGATTAAATTCGTGCATTGATGACGATTTGAGTGAAGAAGTTTGAAGGATTAAGAAAAATAAACGCGATATTTTTCACATTGGAAGAATTTTTTGAAATGCATTCACACTTGGAATATTCACACTTTCCTTTTTTCTCGACGTTGCAAATAAATCTCTTAATCAGATCAAAAATTTTCCCCGCGTGTAATTACGATTTAATGCGATCTTTGATTCGACTCAAATTATCTCGATTTTGAGCAAGAGAATTATTTCGAGTCTTGTCGAATTTCTAATTACAAATGTTAAATAATGAAACTCACCTTCGAGCTAATCCCGCTCAACCCGAGCCAGATCCTCCGGCGCAGCAGCCTTTAAGAGTCGGCTGGTCGTTTATTTCGTCTCTGCAACAGAAAGCAGAATTAATTTAGTATTACACATGATAATGGAGGCATTAAGGAACTCGACTTCAAACAAGAGAATTTCCAATTTTATCGGATTTATCGGAATTATGAATTCAAATTAGTAAAACTCACCTTCGCGCCAACTCTGCCAAGCCCGAGCCAGATCCTCCAGCGCAGCATCCCCTTAGAGTTGAGTGCTCGTTTCTGCAACAAAAAACAGATTTAATTGAGTATTAATTAGTTACATGACGATGGAGGTATTAAGGAACACGATTCTAAACAAGAAAATCTTAAGTTTTATCGAATTTCTAATTATAAGTACAAATTAGTGAAGCTCACCTGCGAGCCGACTCAGACAGGCCCGAGCCAAATCCTCCAGCGCGGCATCCCCCAGCGGCATCACATCTCCTAGAGCCACGTGACTGCATCTGCTCTATTGGATCTCTGTTTAGTAATCTAATAATTTAGTATCAATTAATTACAGCAAAACGAAAAAAATAAATTGTCGTAACGGCACGCTCGTTTCTAAGGCACGTAAGTTTCTTCTCAATGCGCAATAAGAAAGAATTAAATCAAAGCTGAATAAAGAAGTAATAATACCCGATTAATTAATTAATAATGATATTAATATCTGATCGACAACAGAATAATAATATCCGGTAGTATCATTACACACGACAGCAATATGAGATAAGAAAATCATCGTAACGGCACGCTCGAGTTGCTTCCCAATATGCAATAAAAATAATTAAATGACAACCGAATAAAGAAATAATAATACTCGAATAATAAATGGATGATGATAATATTTGATCGACATTGAGGAACTCGATCACGACGTTTCTCTATCTAACAATTAAAAAAGTAAATGAAACAAGGTAATTACCTATCGCGTAATACTTGCTCGCATAAGAAGTACGCGTCTTAACTTGTCTTAATTATCGCATCAATTGTCGCGAAGTCGAAACGCGATGTTAAAAATCAGCACAAAATAATCTAGAATATAACGCGGTAGTTCCCGACGTGTTCGTCTCGACGGTTGAAAGTGTTATGGCGCGACGCTCAACACGTGCTCGCGCACGTGTTTACATGATCCGGCCGCGCCCCCCCCCCCCC